GCAAGGACCTGAATTCGATCCCCGGTACCAAAAAAAAAAAAAGAACTAAGATATCATGTACAGGTACAAGCAACCCAATGATAAATGTAAACGTATTGTATACCTAAAATGTACCAATAAAAGAATTAAAAAAAAAACAAAACATTACTATACAGTCTAGCAATGCTACTTCTGGATGCATATGTGAAAGAATAAAAGGCAAGGTCCTGAAGAGCTACTTTATGGCCATGGTTGCAGTGGACTTATTCACAATAGCTTAACCACAGAAGCAACCCAAGTGTCTATCCTCAGATAAATGGATAAGTAAAATATGGCATATACATAAAATGGAATACTAAGCAACCTTAAAAAAAAAAAAAAAAAGGAAACCCTATCACATGCTACAGTGTGGATAAAACTTGAGGATATATGAGTGAAATAAACCAGTCACAAAAAGACTTATATGAAGTACTTGGAGTAATTAAATTCATAGATACAGAAAGCAGACTGGTAAGCACAAGAACCCGAGTTCAATCCCCGGAACCAAAAATAAAAAAGCAGACTGGTGGATGCTAGGGACTAGGTGAAGGGGAAATAGAGAATTATCATTTAACAGTATAGTGTTTCAGTTTTACAAAATGAGAGAATTCTGAAGATAGATAATAGTGATGGTTGCACACATTATGAATGTATTTAATACCACTGAACCATATTTAAAAATGATTAAGAGGTTATCATGTCTCTTCAAGATAGCCTGCCCTATGCTGTACAGTGTATTTTTTTTCCATTTTTCTTACTTTTATTTGGCCCAAACTCACTCTACAGAGCCTATTTTTTCCTACCTTTAATAAATATGAAACTTTGCCACCAAAAAAAAAAAAAAACAGTCAAGATAGCCAGGTTTGGGAGTGCACACCTGTAGTCTCAGGTACTCAGCAGCGTGAGGTAGGAGAATCACTGAGTTAATGAGTTCAAGACCAAGCTAGGCAACACAGCAAGACTCCCATCTCAAAAACAAAAACAAAAAAAATTCAAGATGATCAATTTTATGTTTGTTTGTTTGTTCATTACAGGGTAAGAATCTCTAATCTGAAAATCCAAAATCTGAAACTCTTTGAGCACCAACATGATGCCACAAGGAAAATTCCACCCCTGACTTCATGTGTTGGATCACAGTCAAATCTCAGGTGCACTAAAGATATTGTATAAAATTACCTTCAGGCTATGTGTATAAGGTGTTTATGAAATATAAATGAATTTCATATTTAAACTTGGATCCCATCACCAACATACTTGTTTTGTATTTGCAAATATTCCAAAATCCAAAATACGAAACATTTCTTGTATCAAGTCAGTATAAAAGATAATCAACCTGTATTTTACCATAATTTTTTTAATTACCATTAAAATTAAAATGGGAGGAAATTCTGACACATGCTATAACATGTGTTAACCTTGAAAATACTATGCTATGTGAAATAAGACAATAGATACCGTTATGATTCTACTTATATGAAGTATGAAGTATGTAGAGCAGTCAAATTCATAGAGGCAGCAAATAAAATCGTGGTTAAGGGGAAGGAGAATGGGGAGTTACCTTTCAATGGGTATAGTTTCAGTTTTGCAAGATGAAAAGAGTGGTGATGTTTGCATAAAACATGAATGTATCTAATACCTTAAAACTATAGGCTGGGTGGGCCAGGGATTTAGCTCAGTGGTTTCGCCACCTGCTTTGCAAGCACAAGGTCCTGAGTTTGATCCCCGGTACAAAAAAAAAAAAACTATACACTTTAAAATGGTTAAGATGGTAAATTTTATAAGTATTTTACCATAAGAAAAAAAAGGACCCAGAACTGAATGATCTTGGAAATTCTCAGCCTGTCCAAATGGAAAAGATACTAAAATTAAGAGATTCACTCTCAAGAAAGTACACTCTAAAGGCCAAGGTTGTGACTATACAATCTTCTAAAACTAGAAACATCAGAAGGTCAGAGTATTCAGTCACACAAGGGCCCTTTTAAGAATGCAAGAGTGTGCCTCCCAGATCACCTCATTTGAACCTTTAGAAAGCTTAAAGCAGGAGACCAAGGTAGAGGATTTATCTTCAAAAGATTTGTGTAGTAGTAGCTTTTGTCTAATGGAATGAACCTCACTGAAACCCAGAGAAGACTCACAAAGTTCTTGATGTTGGCGGTACCACTGCCTGTTTGGACTGAAGGGGCAAAGAACACAAAATGAAAGGGGGCTGTAAACTCAAAATTCAACTGGAAAGAAGCAAGCAGGACAAAACTACGCAGCTGCCAGCACGTGCTGCCTTTCGTGAAAAAGGCAGGATGACTCAGAAGAGTAGAGCTAATTACTCAGAGGACTGAGATCCACTTAGCCTCCTATTCCTCCCCACTTGGTAGGGCTTTGCCATTGTCCATTCTGGTTCTCAGGACCTTTCTCATCTAGAGGTCCACTTTTCTTTTTATCTAGAATTCTACTTTGTTCCATCTTCCTTGTCCTGTTAACCAAAATGCCATCCCTTACTTACCTTAAATAGTTTCTGGGAGTGTTTGATCATAAAAGCCATCCCACTGTTTAACTTTGTGATATTTTCCTGAAGGTCATTTGCAGTAACCTATTCAAAAGAAGAGACCAAAAAGGGGGCTTTAAGGGCTGAGAGGTAGTACTTACCAATAAGCTTATTCTTTCAAATGCATGATTATTTCTATCCCTAACAAAGGTACCTCTAGACATCTGATTCCAAAAACACTGGTTTTGGGTTCAGTAGGTTTCCACTAGATATGACATAATATAAAGAACTACCATGTGTCTCTGAAGCAACCAAGAAATCCATGAGAACCAACTTCATTTCCTACTTTTGCTTGAAAATTAGACATATAAGCAAAGTTGCATAAGAAAATCTAGTCCAGCATTCAAAACTGGAAAGGAAGAATGCTGTCTGTACCAGCTATTAAGGACATTGCCTCTTCAGAGAAACTGTAGTATCTCCAAAGACAAAGGAGAACTGTCACAATTGACACCAAAGGTGACATCTGTTTCTTAAAAACACAGTCAAATTGTTATTGATTCCCTTCTCATTTCTCCTGCCATTTTTTTTTTAAGTACTTCAGCACTTCTACTATGCCCAAACCCTCACCTCAGCATGAATCTTTGTTATTTGATCTGTTTGCTTTTCTCAGGACCCCTTACATACTTTATTTTTATAAACACAGTTTATTCCTTTTCCATAGCTGCTCCTAAAATCCTTCATGATGAAGTTTTATCTCCTTAATATGGACAAGTGTTGGTATTTCCTCTCCTCCCAACCCATACCAGAGGCTCTTCCTGGCCCAAAACTTTCTTTTTCTTTTTTTTTTAATAGTCACTTATTAGGTAAAATGTTCCACACAACCTTTCTCCTTTACTTTCCTTTTCTCATGTCTTATAATCTCAAAAATATTTTTATGTCACTATAACCTGTTTCTATTGTCTTCCCAACAAACTTTGAAGTGGTAAAGCCACTAATATACTCAGTTTACAGAGGAGGAACCTAAGTATTAAAAGGTATAAAAATGTAGGTAACATGAGTAGTTTGTAGCATTCAACCCAGATACCCTGCCTCACAATTCCATCATATGATGAGATCTATATTATGATGTGTTATGTACATGTATCAACTCCCCACAATGAATATAATCATTATATACTGAAAATATATACTAATAAAATTTTTAAAAATTTTTAAAGTCTATATTATGAATAAAATGAGTTTAGTGCCTCCAGGTCAAATATGAGTTATTTGTTTAAAGCAGGACATGGTGGTAGATCCCTGTAATCCCAGCACTCCAGGAGACTGAGATAGGGAGACTGAGATAGGAAGACTGAAAGTTCAAGCCCTGCCTGGGAAACTTAGTGACTTAGCAAGATCCTGTCTCAAAACAAAAAAGTTTAAAAACCAAGGCTGAGTACCGGGGATTTAGCTCAGTGGTACTGCGCCTGCCTCACAAGCACAAGGTCCTGAGTTCGATCCCCGGTACCAAAATTTTTTTTATTTTAAAAATAAATAAACAAGACCCAAAACAAAGGCTGAGGGGGCCAGGAATCTAGCTCAGTGGTTCCACCACCTGCCCCGCAAGCACAAGGACCCAAGTTCAATCCTCGGTACCAAAAAAAAAAACAAGGCTGAGGATGTAGCTCAGGGCCAAGGATGCAGATCAGTGCCATGGTGCCTGCCTGGTAAGTGCAAGGTCTTGAGTTTGATTCCTGGTACCAAAAAAAAGAAGAAGAAGAAGAAGATATAGCTCAGTGCAAAGGCCTTGAGTTCAATACTCAATACAATGAAAAAATAAAAAGAAAGTTTAAAAGACTTTAGCTAATTTATTTCTTAGGTAAGTGACTGAGAAGGTCATGATCTCACTAGTAAGCATATTCAGCTTTACCAAGGAAACTGTATCTATGGGAAATAGGTTAGGACAGAATTCCTCCATGTGTCACTTCACATAAAGCTTGGTGACATTATCCCCTAAGATCACACTGCTCAATTCTAAATTTATGCCATTCAATCTTCAAAAGTTAATTTGATTTCCCAAGAAGGCTGTCCTGTTAAAGAATTCACAATGAACATTCTAGTTTACTTGGTAGCTATAATTTTCCACAAAATTTCCACTAATAAGTTGCTGTGCAGGTTTGCCAGAGATTGATTTATAAGTAAGGTTACAGAAATTACTTGGTCAGCTTGGATGACTCTTGAATGAACTAATAAAGCAAGTTCCTAACCTCATAAAGCTGAAGACTAGACCTTGGACCCATGATAACCTCACCAAGGTACAGCCACAATATGAGTCCCAGCCCAGGAAAACCAAGCAATCTTTTTCTTCCCGTCAACACTCACATTTTTTGGCCACAGGACATGAGGTGCAAACATAAGGGCAAGATTATAGGCAGACATTTTATTTTTGTCTTGTTTCTTTGCTGTCTGGTATAAGAGATCAAGTAACAACTTCAGCAAGTTACGATTGGGTGGAGGAAGAATGAGGAAGAGCAACTGAAGAGCCTCAATTTGTCGCTCCTTATCTGGTATATTGGTCTTATTTCCTTTATCATCAAACTGCATCAAATCTTGAGAACAAAAGAAATTTTTGAAGAAGAGAAAAGTATCAGCAAGATTAAAAAATCAATGCTATTACTGTTTTATTATTATCCTCCCCCTCAATCCCCAACAAAGGGGAAAAAAACCCAACAAACAAAATTATACTGTTATAGCACCCTAGCATGTACAAGGCCTTGGCTTGATCATCAGCACTGACAAAGGAAAATGGAACAGACTTGAATAAACATTCTTCCAAATAAAAGAGCTAGACACAGGTGGCTCATGCCTGGAATACCAGCTACTCAGGAGGGAAGGATCATAAGTTCAAGGCCAGTCTGGGCAATTTAGTGAGACCCCATCACAAAATAAAAAGGACTGGAGTTGTAGCTCAGGGGCAGAGTACTTGCCTAGCATACACAAGGTACTGCATTTGAGGGAGGGGAGGGAAGGGGAGGGGAGGTCAGGCCAGGGCAGGGCAGTGCAGGGCAGGGGAGGGGAAGGGAGAAGAGTGTAGGGAAGGGAAGGGAAAGACGATAATACAGAAATGAAATGCCCAATAAGCATTTGTATGCTCAGTATCATTAAGTATAAAGAAAACATAAATCAAAACCATACTGAGATACCACTTTACACCCACCAGCATGACTACAATCAAAGACTACAACATAAATATTGGCAAAGACAAAATTGAGTCCTCCAACATTGCTGGGAATGTAAAATGGTATAACCACCTCAAAACGAGTTACCATATCTCCCAGCAATTCCATTTCTAGTTATATACCAAAGGGAAATGAAAGTATGTCCACACAGGTCTTTAATAATGCTATACCTTCCACTTTTCCCCCACTCAGATATTTTGTAACTAAAGGAAAAATCAGCTGGATGTGTCAGGAGGCTGAGGCAGGAGGATCACTAAGAGTTGGAGGCCAGCCTGAGCTACCTAGTGAGTTCAAGGCCACTCTAAACTACATAGAGACCCTGTTTCAAAAAAAGAAAAAGAAAAAAAAAATTTTTAAATAAAAAATAAAATAAAAATAAAAGGGGCCAGGGATGTAGCTCAGTTGCACCACGCCTGCCTGGCAAGCATGAGGTCCTGAGTTCAATCCCTGGTACCGGAAAAAAAAATTTTAATAAAAAATAATAAATAAATAAAATTTAAAAAGAAAAATCAGAGTGAATCATGCCTTCATAATAGAATGATTCTAAGCAGCATCTAGTGGAGTCAGAATCATTGTTTCTACCCGAACAGGTTACACAGGTTATCAATAAAAATAGTTCCCTGTATAATCAGAACTTCAAAGAAAACTAATGACCATTTACATATACAGTAATTCATATAGACCTAAAAATGATTACAGTGTGCTATTTAAGCTGTTCAACTTCAGTAATAATTTCAGGTTTAGGAAAGGCAGGTAGTATTTCTAGAAAATGTCCCCTGCTAATATGAAATTGAAAATAAAACTCTCAGTTATCAACAAGGCATACCCAATGCTGCAGGTGTGCCACACCTTAATATGTTCTCAAGGAACTGTGAATCACAGGGCAGTAAATTGGAGGATTTCAAATACTGAACTAAATGAATGAACTCAACAGGAAAGCAAAGCAAATAAAACAAGCAGTCTTCATACTAACACGTAAAAAGAATATATCAATATTTTCTAAATCTCTTTCGAAGATCTGTTAACAACTTTATTTTTCCCAAAATTAACTGTAAAATTATACAACATTCTAGTAATATTACTTATAGATTGGTATTAAAGTGCTTTTAAAGAATTTAATTTGATGCAGTTCAGTGGCAGAGCACCTGTTTAGTATACACAAGCCTTAGATTAGCATGGGTGGGGGCAGAGAGAAGGAAGGAGACCAGCTAGCTGGGCATGGTGGCACATGCCTAGAATCTGAACACTTGGGAAGCTGAGGCAGGGGGATTGCCATGAGTTTAAGGCCAGCCTGGGCTAAATAGTGAGTTTAAGGCCAGCATGGACCACATAGTGAGACTCATCTCAAAAAAAGAGAGAAAAAGAAAGGCAGGAAGGCAGGAAAGCAGGAAAGAAGGAAGGCAGGAAGGCAGGAAGTAAGGAAGGAAAAGAAAGAAAATAGGCTGGGGATTTAGCTCAGTGGTACGGCCACCTGCCTCCCAAGCCCAAGGACCCGAGTTCAATCCCTGGTACCAAAAAAAAAGAAACAAAGAAAGAAAGCTAATCAGATTTTTTTTTTTTTGGTACCAGGGATCAAACTCCGGTCCTTGTGCTTGCGCAGCAGGCAGCAAAAGCACTAAGCTAAATCCCTGGCCCTCTAATCAGATTTTTAAAATTCAAAACTAGCTTTTTTTTACATAGTACTGTATAAGTTATTCAAAAGAAAAAGCCCTTATATTTCTTTTTCTTAAAATTAGGGGGAAAAAAAAAGAATTGTTCAAGGGCAAAAAACTAAGTAAATACAACATGGATTCTGATCCTGCATGTACTTAGAGCCTACGGCAACATAATAGTTGTGAAATTTAAGAATGCATTCCCTTTGAGCAGGGCATGGTGGTGCCATGCCTGTCATGCCAACACTCAGGAAACTGAGACAAGAGGATCGCTGAGAGTTCAAGGCCAGCCTGGGCGACATAGTGAGTTCAGGACCAGCCTGAACTACAAAGGGAGACCCTGCCTCAAAAAAAAAAAAAAAAGAATGAATTTCCCACCACAGAGGCATAAAAGATGAGAAAACTATGAGCTGAAAATGGGACATTCTCCAACATACAATTAAGTGAAAAAAGCAAACCACAAAACTATATATATACCTACCATTACATAAAAGAGGGGGAAAGAAATGTACGTATTTCTAAAAATACAAAAAATATCTCTGCATTACGATTTTTATCTAAAATGTCCTCCAGGGCCGGGGATTTAGCTCAGTGGTTCTGCTGCCTGCCTCTCAAGCGCAAGGACACAAGTTTGATCCCCAGTACCAAAAAAAAAACTCACTTATTTGCTAAAATGTCTTCCAAAGCCTCATGTGGAAGATGACTGGATCATGGGGGCTTACAGCTGGCTTGCTGTTAGGAGGTGGGATCTGGTCAGAACAGGTGAGTTACTGGAGGTGTGGCCAAGGCCTATCCCCCTCCCTCCTCCCTTGATGGCTCTCTGCTTCCTGCTGCCAAGCTATAAGCTGTTTCTCCTCTGCCATGCTACCTGCCTTGAAGCCAGCTGACTATGGACTAAAACCTTTACAAACTGTGAGCCAAGACAAACTTTTCCTCCTTTAAGTTGTGGGTATCAGGTATTGTGTCCTGGTGATTAGAAAGTAACTAAAATACCCTGGAAGGTTACATTACAAATCAACAACACTGGTTGTCTCAAAGAAGAACTAGGGAATGGGAGTGGAAGAGAAGTTTCTCACTGTATAATCTCTGAACCTTTTGAATTCTGAACCGTGTGAATGCACTGCTTATTCAGAAAACAAATTGGGGCGGGGGGGGCGCAGTAAATTGGAATTAAATCCAGGGTCTTTGCATTGAACTACATCCCCAGCTCTTTTTATTTTTATTTTGAGACAGGGTCTCACTAAATCACTACATTGCCCATGCTAAGCTGGAACTCTGGATCGTCTGTGTCAGTTTCCCAAAGTACTGGGATTACAGGCATGTGCTATCATGCCCAGTTTATAAAATTATTTTTAAAAAACAAACCTCCAAGTGTAGAGATGATCCCAAATAAGGCACAGAAATGCTTAGCAAAACCAAGGCAAATACACCAAACCTATAACCATCTTAAGGTGTCTGAAGCCAAAGAATCCACCTAATCCAATGAAAAGCAAACATTTATTGAGCAACTAAAATGTTCAAAGCACTATGCTAGGCTCCATCAAGGATACAGAAATAAATAAAACCCAAACCTTATCTTGTTAACCCCTTGTCTTAGTAAAAAGCTTATTTATAAAGAAATATCATTTGATTAAATCAAACTTAACTAATATGGGTATGTGTACTTGGAGAAACCCAGCAATACTATGAAGTCTTAACCAATACCAGAAATATTGCTGTGGGTTACAAGGAAAGAAAACCCCAAAGGATTTCCTAAATTGAAAGAAATATGTTTACATTCTTTCTCACTTCCTATACTCACCAGCAACTTTGAGGTGTGCATGGAAATGTTTATGTGTCAGCAGGGGCTCTGGTAACTCTCCTAGAAACATCTTCAGCAAAGTAGCAACATCATTTGAATGAAACTCTCCTGATTCCAAGTCAATATCAGTTCCATTATTGAGGGCATCCCTTAAAATCTGCTGTCGGACACTATTGCCTGGAACTCTAAACAAACCCTCTACTCGCAAATCTGCTTAGCATGGAAGAGAGCAAGCGGACAAGCAAACAGAAAACAAAAAGAGAAATTATGATTAATATACATAGTCTAAACATTACTTTTCAGTTAAAAGACCCTTTACAAAGCCTTTAAATGACACTTTTGCATCTTTTTCCAGAGAAGTTTGGAACCTATTGGCCCTTGAACACGTATCTGAACATCCCAGAGCACCTGGCCCAAACTTAAAGATGGACTACCCACAAGTCATTCACCCGCCTGAGGTATATCTGGAGAATGAATTTAACCTAATCACTGGTGGAATAAGCTGGAAATATTCATTGAAAAAAGCCAAATCTCCCTTAAGACCCCTTCCCTCTATATTTCCCAGACTTTGTTTGGAGGGACTGAGTTCATCTGTGGAAGTTTGTTGCTCCTGTAAACTGTTTTCCCCACTCAGAATAAATCTAGAGTCTCTGCACTGTTCCAGAAATTAGAACTCTGTCAGATCACCTTTCAGTCGAAGAGATTCCCAGAAGCTCAGTGTCATCTCGACCAAACTATGTGGCCCTTCCAACTAGGTTCTAACTTCATCTAAGGAGATTTTTTAAAAAGGTAGAACATAACAGTTTTTATTTGATCTAGAAGAATCATGTCCATGTCCTCATTTTTTATAAACCTCTTCTTCAAGGGTCCAAGTTCACATGCCTGCAAGGCCAGGCGGGTTAACGGTAAAAGAACCCTAACAAACTGGAGCACACTTCCCTGTGCTCTAGCTGATTCTGTTCATATGGCAACTGGGCCCAAGAATGCTAGATTTTCCTATCTTGCAAAGAAGTTGAAAACCTGGACTCTTCTCATTTTAAAACACTGATAACTGGCCAAGGATTTAGCTCAGTAGTGTCGCTGTCTGCCTCACAAGCGCAAGGTCCTGAGTTCAATCCTCAGTACAAAAAAAAAAAAAAACCACTGAGAACTAATTTTATTTTTAATGTAATCCTTTGTCAACAAAAAAAACGTAAGTGCAGATGACTCAAACCCCTAAGCCACCAGTTTCCAACCTGTGCTGTAGCTCCTAGCATAATGTTCCACACAGAATAAGGCATAAATGTTTGGGCTGAATTTATCAAGGCATCATATAAGGCCTTATATATCAAGGCCACCATATTTCATATACACTCAGCTGTGTCAAGTACTTAGAACAGTGACATGACCAGCAAGACTACTAAAAAATGCAATAGAAATTAAGTAAAAAGTGTGTATGAATCACAGAATTCTAGGGATTAAAAGTAGCACGCTCCCTTGTTTAAATGTCATAGTTATTTAGTGACAACAAATTTTCCAGAAGAAAAGTTTCTTTGAGTTAAGGGGTAAATGTAATTTCATAGACACTATCTACTTTACATGTTTGAGAATATCATGCATATCAATATATAAGATGAAGTTTAAAAGGCCATATATTTTAAAATCTGCCCCTGAAATCATCACTGGTTAGTTCTTTGGTAATGGTTAACTGGCACCTACTTATCCAATGCAGTTAGCCTTCATTAAACAAGGAACAATAAAACTTTTAGTAGTCTTACTTTTGTGCAGATATTCGATCAGTTGGTATATCTGGGCAATGCCTTCCTCCGTCAATGGGGATCCAAATACCACTCCTTTTTCTGAAAAACCACATGACAGAACAGAACTGTATTTCACACAAATAGTACAAAATTCATCATATTTAAAATCACCCCAACATTACAGTTCAGCAAATGTTTTCATCAAGTGAATAAACAAAAACCTGAGCACTGGAAGTGTACCAGAAAATACAATTGGAACAACTCTCAAATCAGCTCCAAGTTCAATATTAAATTGTAGGTTCTGTAAAGACCAAGACTGTTTTCTTATTTAAGTAATAATATCTATCACATTGATAATTAAATTAATTTTAAAACAAAAAAGAACTCGCAATTGTCAGAGCATGACACATCATCCACCAGAGCTGGCACAGGATGTCATCTGTTAATGCATAAATATTTTTTCTAGCTGAATGATTTCTCTATCTTGTTAATAAAATATGACCCACAGATTTAGCTCAGTGGTACCCCACGCCTGCCTGGCAAGCACAAGGTACTGAGTTCAATCCCCAGTACCGAAAAGCAAAACAAAACAAGACCTCCTTCATATGTCATCAAAAGTAGTGCTACAATTTTTTTATTTCTTGAAAAGGCTTTTTTTGGGCGAGTTGTAAGTACCAGGGAATGAAAACATTTGAGAACTATTGCAATAAAAAAATGTTCAGGCTTTCTTTTCTGTGCTCTCCAGTTATGTGACTTTGGGTTTTAAATATATATATATACACACACACACACACACACACACATATATATATATACACACACTAGTTTAACTAGTTTAACACAGTGACACACACCTATAGTCCCAGCTACTCAGAAGACTGAGACAGGAGGATCACTTCAACCCAGCAATTCAAGGCCAACCTGGGCAATATAGCAAGATACCATTAAAAAAAAACCTGAGAGATCTAAAGATGCTGGGAAGCTGACCCTGAATGGCTCTGAAAGTGATGGGGCCCCCCTCCCCACCCCACCCAGGGCCTGCAGAGCCTATGGGTACCTGTCAGCCCCCAGGTGCTGCCCAGACTCAGTGCCCAATCTCAGGCAGGCGAGTGAGCCTGGGAGGACCTTTGTTGTGTGGCCCAGTGGACCCTATGGGAAGGGAAGTCTAGTTCTGAGCTGAACTTGGCCAGGGGAAAACCCAGGAATGAAAGGTGGCTGAGGAGCAGGGCTGAAAGCTAGCCTGATAAGTTGGTATCTTTGCTGCTTTGGCCCAGGTAGAAGCAGGGAGGTGTGACCAGTCCTGATACTTGAAAGAGAAATTTTTGGGAGGCCTTATCTCTTTATTGCTTATCTGAAGTCTTTGATTTGATCCAAGACAGGCAGTTGATTAGCACAGATTCATTTCCACCTGTTTGGGATCAGCCATGGGAGACATTTTCTCACACTTTTATTTAAGGGTCACTTGCTCCAGTGAACCCTGAGCAGCAAAAGCCTCCTGTTGGGTATGGACACTGGGTGGTTCTGAACAGGGTTTGCATGCAGAGAAAGTAGAATCTGGTGGGTGAGGCAAGGCTCAGCCCTGTGCTGTTTCCACAGCCCTGGGCAGATCCCTGGTTCCCCTTCAGCAGCCCAGAGGTCACTGATACAATGAATGTGAGGGACCAGCCCTGTGTGTTTCTCAATCCCCAGTGTTCTTGGGTGACCCCCACGACTCTTTCCAGACCTGGTACCACTAGTGCTATTTTTACTTCATAGTTCATGTTTTAGCTCACTTTTTAAACATTTGAAGACTTTTGCTTTGAGGGAACTTTAGACTTACAGAGAAGAGTTTTAGAAATAGTACAGTTTCCCTACATGTGCTCCTCATCTCCACTTCTACAGCTAGCATCTGATAAACCACAGTGCTAGCATCAAAACCACAGAGAGACTGGAACTACAGACTTGATGACTTTACTCAGATTGGTTTTACAAGGTCCTCCCTTGGTGTCCTTTTCCTGTTCCAGGATCCCATGTTGCATTTAAGTCTCCTGTCTCTTTAGTCTAGCAAATATTTCTTTTAAAAGGAAACTTTGTATCATTCCCTGAAATAGAACATTAGTATAACTTGCCATACACAGTAACTGTAAAAATAAACATAGTAACTGTTGAAGTTAAAAAAAAAAAAAAACTGAGAATTAAATACTATTTTAATAAAATACTAATAGGGCATGAAACTTAAGATCTCCTTGAAACCACCTAAACAAACATGTCACCTATTAGGGACTGAATGCATTTACTTTAATTATTTTTTAATCTTAATAGTTTTATAATTTATTACTAGTACTTAAAATTCTACTCCTTATGAAAATGAGAAAAATGACCTAAAAATGCTTGAGGATAACCATAACTCCTCAATGAATATGCAAGTGTTACAAAAGAAGTCCAATACAGGTAAGTGGAACAAAAATACCTATAATCCCAACATTCAGGAGGCTGAGGCAGAAGGATCACTGCAAGTTTGAGGTCAGCCTGGACTACATAGTGAGTTCAGGGTAAGCCTGAACTATGTAGTGAGACCCTGTCTCGAGAAAAAAAATAAAATAAAGTCCAGCAAGTGCAGAGAGCAGCTGAGACCTGCCCACCCTTCACAGACACCACTCCTACCCTTCCGCTTGAGAGACATTAGAGATCGGAAGAATCCAGATGCTAGGCCAGCCCCACCAGGCAGCTTAAGGTCTACGTCTCCCATCAGCTGAGCCAGCTCAGTTCCAGGTAAATCGATAAGTCTTGTGATGTTGCTGACCACCAACTCAGTGAACACCTCAGGTTTCTCATGTCGGAGTTTTTCCACAAAGAAGTCAGGATTGAAGACAACAGGCTGACCTCGAAGGGAAGGATCATTGCAGATGACAAAACTGCAGATGGCATCACTGAAAAAAATGAACCAGAAGATTGTTTAGAGGATCATTTTGATACATGTTACTTTGTCCTACAGATGGACACTTTGGTTCCTGAGTCCACATAGGCAGAGCTTTCCTTACAATCAGCTTCCTGTAGTTGACCCAGCTGCCTATGAATTCTGTTCCTCATAACCAAAAAGCTTTCACAGAATAAAGAAAACACATAGGTACATAAAATAGATTACTAATGAAGTTTTGTCCAGGTCTGTAAATAGGTTTTATTTATTTTTCAGTGCTAGGCCTTGAGCTATGCCCCCAGCCAAGTTTCATTTTAAAAATCTTTCAATTCTGGATGCCTCTGACCTATCTATCATTGTAGACCAACCTTTGCTCAGTTACTTCTCTCTAGATCCTCTAGTCTTAGACAATTTTCCACTCCTATATTCCATTTGATTATACTCTTGGCAAAATTCCTTTGACTTTCAAGAAATATTTCTTTGTTTTTTTGTTTTTTGTTTCCCAATGACTAACTACTTATACCCCTTTTTACTTCTAATGTAAGTTACTTTTTTTTTTTTTGTACCCGGGTTCAAACTCAGGACCTTGTGCTTGCAAGGCAGGCGTCGGAACCGCTGAGCTAAATCCCCAGCCCATAAATTACATTTAAGGACTGTGTAGGGCCGGGGATTTAGTTCAGTGGTTTGCTCGCCTGTTGCACAAGTGCAAGGACCTGAGTTTAATCCCCGGTAGCAAAAAAAAAAAAAGAACTGTGTTATTCCATCTCTTATAACAGACACTGCATTGTTTTTACCCATTGTCAATTAACTCTAATGGCTTGTTCTAATCCTTACTATATAAATGGTAATAATTCTTATTATATTATTATATGAACAGTCATCTGTTATATGATTAAGGAATTGACATAACACAAGCCAGAAAGGACAAATTATCATATCTCAGTCACACAAAGTTAAATTCACCTGACTCACAGACACATTTCCTCAGTAAAAACAATCACAATTTAAAAGTTGTTCATGACAGGTACACCAAAGCACTATTCTAGGAAAGATGACACATCTTAAATATTAAATATAACTGAATAATAAAAGTCTGACCATATTACATGAATAATTTTAATAATAATATAATAAAAACAAGATATAAGTAAATTTCAAAGTTTATCACTACTCCCTTGAAAAATTATCAATTTTAATCAACAGCCTAAATTTTCAGCTGGTGACTACAAGATTCCTTTTCTCTAAAATGATAATGCACTACAAAAAATCACATAAAAATGTAAAATTATGACTATATGACCAAAAAGTCACTAGGGAGGACTTAGAATGCTTATCTCCTCAACTTTTTTACACACGAGGATAGGTCATTTTCCTGCATAAACTTAAAGATGCCAATGATTATAATATAAGCCAATTAGGATCAGAAGGCATTTAAACTTTGACAAGATTCCCCTCCCCATGCTGGAAATTGAGCCCAATTTCTGGACAAGTACTTTACTATTGAGCAACATCCCCAGCACTTTTCATATTTTTTATTTTCAGACAAGGTCTCCCTACATGGCTTAGACTGTCCTCCAATTTACACTCTCTAAGTCTCAAATCTTGTGAGTAGCTGAGATCACAGGAGTGTGCCACCACTAAGCCTAAAGAGACTCTTTTTAAATGTCTATTTCAGGCAAAAACAAGAGTCCATACAGAATTACTATTTATAATCACTGATAAAGTGAAATTACTGAAAAGTCCAGAAAACCATGAAAAGTGTTAGCACCAAAAAGAATCATAATTTATTTGAGTCCAAACTAATCATCTTATGGAATTCACATCCCATTTAATTCTTTGTTTGTGAGATAGGGTCTTGCTATGTAGCCTAGGCTTGCCTTGGACTCACTGTGGAGCCCAGACTGGCCTCGAACCCATGGCAGTCTTCCTGTCTCAGCCTCCCAATTGCTGGGATACAGGCATACGCCACCACACCCACCCATACATCCCATTTAATTCTGAGTACCTAATTCCAGATTAAATTAGTTCTAACATACAAATGCATATGAACAGCATCCATTATATTCCTGAAGTAGAAGCATGTATACACATAAAATCTATAGTCTTATATTTTATTAATGTCAGTTAATTCTAAAACTTTTATCACAGCTAACCCTGGCAGCACTAAACTAGATCAAACAGACCAATGAGAAAGGAGTTAAAAGCACAAAGCTACTAGTATATTGTTTCTCAACACAGTTCTTCCTACCTGGCCATCACTCCCAAAACTGCCTCTCCTGAACAGCCTGAGCAGGTAGAAAGAAACAGATTCGAGGTTGCCAGTACCTACTTATAAGGAATACAAGAAAAAGATAATCTTGAAAGTCCTAACACATAAGAACCACAATCTCTTTGTTTTTCTTTCCCCTCTGCTCTCCCCCTCCCTTCTATATGCATTCACTCTTACTACCCTACACTTTAATTTTTTAACTAGCTCTTTTTTTTTTAACCTCTTGCTCATTTTTTTCTGAGTGGAGCATCTGGCAAGATAATAGTCTTAGTTAACTTTTCTCCTTGCTGAAACAAAATGCCCAACACCCAAGATTAAAGGAAGAAAAGTTTATTTTGGCTCAAAATTTGTAGAAATTTCAGTCCATAATCAGCTGGCTCCAAGGCAGGGTGGCATGGCAGAGGGGCATCACAGAAGATAAACAGTTTGTGACAGGCAGAAGGCAGCAGAAGCATCCACGCGGCAAGTGACAAGCAACAACCTTCTTTTTGTCCCTTATATTTCATCCAGGTGGGGAACCCTTAACCCTACCCAGAACTGTGCCAAACCAACCAGTAGACTGATTTAGTAATCACACACCCTTGATCCTAGCATCACACACTCTACATCCAGCCACTTCCAAAAGGCTCCACCTATGACCACATGAGGCTTTGGAGGAACACTGAGATATAAACCACAACAATATCTAAAAGATAGACATGTTTTTTTTAAAAAAAGGAATATAGCAGATAAGAGATGGAAAAGACAGTTTTAACAGATTTTTTAATTATCCCCACATCACAAAGTCCACTAAAATCTTTCCAAAAACTATACCACAATACAAAGCTAAGAATACAAAGGAACACGCTTAACAGCTTAAGAAAGTCCTATAGGGCCGGGGATTTAGCTCTGTGGTTCTGCCGCCTGCCTTGTAAGTGCAAGGAAGGACCCGAGTTTGATCCCCGATACCTAAAAAATAAATAAAAAATAAAAAAAAAAGAAAGAAAGTCCTAGAATGAAAGAAAAAATATTATATTTAACCGAAAACAACTTCCCACTCTATAATATTTTAAAATAAACTCAAGTTTGCTCAAGTTCTAGGAAAATAAATAAATTTCTTACATAAATGCTGAAAGCTTCTGACGAGGCATTGGTAATTGAAGAGACAGGAAAAAACTTTGTCCTTGTTTGCGTGACAAATAAATTTCCTTTCCCTACCCCAGCACAGCCTACACAAATTCCAGACATATTAGAGGACACAAGGACACATTATGGAGCCTGAAAGGCAGTATTTATTAGAACTCTGAGCTCTCTCCTGAAAGTAGGAACAAAATAGAATTTTAAAATTAGATCAGTTTGCTTTGGAGGACCTATACTTGCATTTTGCAGTCTTCATATGTAATCATATTGCCAAAGACAAACTATTTCATCATTTATTGTAAATAACACTTTTCCCCAGACCTACCACAAAGTTTTTGTGATGTATTGTCTTCCAGTTGCAATAACAATTACTGAGTTGCATCAATTGAAGGAAACAAAAAGACCAGTTAACTATTATTTGCCAACACACAGATGAAGCTGAACAACAGACTTCCCATCAGCACTGAAAGTTGTGTTAGATGAAATAGTTACTTAATGTATCAGCATAAGGATGAGCAGTTTTACAATATGGGGGGAAGGGTCCCTACCTCACATCATACACAAAATAATAAATGCTGGGCCAGGCGCTATGGCACATGCCTGTAATCCCAGGGACTCCAGAGGCTGAGGCAGGAGAATTGAGAATTCAAGCCCAGACAGCGGGAACTTAATGAGACCCTGTCTCAAAATTATTAAAAAGAGGGATGGATGCATAGCTCACTGGTAAAACACTCTACCAATGAACTATACCATCAGCAGTACTTTGGTATTTTTCATTGATGGGAACATAAAACTCATTTTATAATAAATAAATAAACAAATATATTTAAAACTTTAAAGTATTAAAAAACAAGCCATAGGACCAGGGATCTAGCTCAGTGGTTCCACTGCCTGCCTCGAAAGCGCAAGGATCCAAGTTCAATCCCCAGTACCAAAAAAAAAAAAAAGCCATAGACTAGAAAAAGATATTTGCTATGCATATAACAAAGGATTAGTGTTCAGAATTTAGCAGTAAGCAAAAATTAATGATATTCAAATTTTTTAAAAAGTCAAAAGGATATAATCAACAATTCATAGAAGACACAAAAATGTGTCGGCAATACACAAAAATGATAATATATCTGAAATATTATGTACATATACCAATTTCCTACAGTAAATGTAGTCATTATACTCTAAAATATGTACTAAGAAAAGTAAAAATATAAAAGTAAAAATATGTACTAAGTATATATATATATATATATATATATATATCATAACTGAGTTGGGTTTGTTTTGAAAGGCAAAATTGGTGAACAAAAACTAATCAGCAAAAACCATCTTAATATAAAGGAGAAAAATATACAATCATCCAATAAATAAATATATAAAAGATATTTTATAAACAGTGACTATAATTTTAAATAACAGCAAATTAGGAATAAAAAGATATCATTTGAGTCTGATACTTTTGTCAAAATGATAGCTAGGGAAAGATATTTTAAAATTTGCTTTAATACCTTGAGATTCTGGTTCATGTTTATCATCCTGTTTTTGTTGGGGGTTTTTTGGTTTTGTTTTCTTGGTTTTTCAGCTTTCAGGGTCTCACTATATAGTTGAAGTTGGCCTTGAATTCACTATGT